ATGATATGGGTAGGGTTAGGGTTAGGGTTATGGTTAGGGTTAGGATTAGGGTTAGGGTTAGGGTTAGGGTTAGGGTTAGGGAGTAGGCGTAGGCGACTCCCTAGACTCGTTAGTGGAGTAGGCGAGGTATGGTACGGCATATTAGATAGTACCAGACTACCAGGGTACGTTCCGGTATACCGGACCGTAACCAGGGTACGTTCCGGCAGTACCCCTGGGGACATAGACCCTCTCAGCGTTATTAGTGGTGCAATAAGATTTAGTATACATTATTTTTATTCTTACTGATCTGTTGGAAACTGCCAGTGGTACGTACGGGAGAAGTTATATGATAGACTTCAACCCAAGGGACACACATGAGCACGTACTATACAATGACGTACTACACACATGACGTTCTACACACATGAACACGTCATAACACGTCATATACACGTCATAACCGTAACCAGAACGTCGCGGGTTATATATTATTATCTTTTAATAATCGGGAGTGAATGCAAAAACAAATAGCAAAGACAAAAAAAAATTTCTCATTCGCTCCCTGTGATAATAAATGCACGGCGTAAAACATTTACACCGCACGCAAAAAAACACGCAAAAACTAACGAGTAGGCCAGTAACTCAACCCCCAGCCCGCACAACGATACGCCAGTTACTGTACTGATCGATGGATGACCTTCCTTATAGACATAGGAAGCATCCTTGACCTTCCTTATAGACATAGGAAGCATCCTTGACTTTCCTTATAGACATAGGATCAAGGGCTAAAAATACATTGTTGGCTTTTGATAGGAAAAGATCGCGTAAACATGCACGCGTGCGTATCACCCAACCACGTACGTGCGTGCGTGCGTGCGTGCGTACGTGCGTGCGTCTGCGTGCGTCTGCGTGTGTTAACACACCTTGTATACGCAGTTGATAATTCCACTAGTTGGCTTAGTTCCCGTTCGCCTAGCTAGCTTGCTATCTCACCCGTCCATGTCGTCATCTATTCAAACAGGTTTTTATCCCAGTGCGCTCTCCTGCTTTGTGTAATTTACGGTACGAGCGGCCCAAACTGCATCATGGAGAATGCAGAAGGAAGGCCAGAGAGAGAGAGAGAGATAGAATAGTGCTGTGTTGTGTGCCGACGTTGGAATGCGCACACGTCAATTCAGAATACTATGGCTGTTTCTACATACGTACGTAGCCTATGCGGCCTAGACAGAGATAGCAACCTAGAAACGAACGCACACGCACACGTAGGCACGCACGCACGCGCGCACGCACAGGCGACGTAGGCACGCACGATGTAGGCACGCACGCACATACGATGTAGGCACGCACGCACGATGTAGGCACGCACGCACATACGATGTAGGCACGCGCGCACGCACGATGTAGGCACGCACGCACGCACGATGTAGGCACGCACGCACGCACGATGTAGGCACGCACGCACGCACGATGTAGGCACGCACGCACGCACGATGTAGGAACGCACGCACATACGATGTAGGAACGCACGCACATACGATGTAGGCAGGCACGTATATACACGCTCGCACGCACACGTGCACGTATGATATGGGAAGGCACGAACGCACGCATTTACAATGTAGGCGCAAGCACGTACATATGCGTTCACAGACGCATGCACGCACGCGCGCACTCACGCACACACACACGCACACACGCACGCACGCACGCACGCATTTACAATGTAGGCAATCACGTACATATGCGTTCACACACGCACGCACGCACGCGCACGCACGGACGCGCGCACGCTCGCATTTACAATGTTCGTTTGTTTGTTTGCCGATATGTTAGTCAATGTTTGTTTACATATGCATTCACACGCACGCACGCACTCACGGCTGGCTGGCGGGCGGACGGGACTCGAACCAGGCACCCGGACCCCGCGATCAGGTACGCGCATCTCCATCTGACTGCGCCCTCGCCTCACCGGCAGCGCCACCTATCACAGTGTAGCCGGGCCCCAGCTTCCGATGAACGCCCTCCGAGTGACCCGTAGCGCCATCTTCCTGCTCCGCGGACGGCTCCTCCGGCACGGTTGCCGCGGCGACGGAGTGTCCGCTCGGCAGCGGTTGACCCAAGATGGCGTCCGGGACGCCGTCCTCGCGCTCCTCCTTGATGCTGTCGCTGCGTTTACGCGTGAACATCTCCCGCGTGGCGTTCCTGCAGAGAACAACACAAACATGAGAACGTAAACAACAAACATCAACATAAATAGAGATAATAACAAACATTTGTGTCGCTGCGTTTGCGCGTGAACATCTCCCGCGTGGCGTTCCTGCAGAGAACAACACAAACATGAGAACGTAAAC